GTGGTTGCATAGGCTGGTGTGCTTCTTCCATGTGGGCTTTGTTGCTTCTGAGCTTGATGGCTGCTTGATTACCTTCAAGCCTTTAAACCATCATCATTTTCTAAACATTTATTTTCTATTTGAGCCCTTGGAATCAGCTCCTTAAATCCTCCCTCTAACATATGATTTATTGGAGTTTAATGTACATTATATAATACATTATGCATTATATCTAACATCCACTAGTAAGTACCCATTTTCAGAAAATTAATGTTTATTTTTATATTTAAGAGGTTATTTAGTTTTTAACAATAGGCGCTTTTTTCATGTGCTAAGCAAATATATATAATACTTCTTATAAGAAATGTGTTTCCTTTTATAGCAATAATTTCTTTATTCTACAGACTTACAGTAATTATTTATCATTGATCACCTTACAGGTATTACTGCCTTGCAGCTGTTGCAGCTTTGTTAAAATATATTGAATTTATTCAAAATTCAGTTTATGCACCCAAATCGCTAAAGATTTGTTTCCAGGGTAGTGAACAGACAGCTATGATAGATTCCTCATCAGCCCAGAATCTTGAATTGCTAATTAATAATCAAGACTGTAGGTAAGACCATTCTGTATTTTTTCTTACAAAATGATGTAGTAGATACTTTTGTGTCATTTTTTTCTATTAATAGTTGCTTTAAGTTTTAAAATTTATTTGATGGAAAAATATTGATCAAACATTTTGAATCATTGTACCACTGTTAACACTGGTTGATTGCATCACCAAAATTAGGTTTTAAAAATATATTTTTGTCCACAATAACGATGAAATTAAAATAACCAGCTTAAAAGCTTCAAACACAAGGAACTTAAAGGGCTCTGTAATTATTTAAATTAAAACAAACAAAAACTCACTGCCATCAAGTTGATTCTGACTCATAGTGACACTGCAGATACCTTCACTTTCTCACGTGGAGTAGCTGGTGGATTTGAACCACTGACCTTGTGGTTAGCAGTCCAGAACTTAACCCAACAACTCCACCAGGGCTCCTTTAATTATTTGAGTCGAAGATAAAAATATCTGGTTAACTTGGTCTGTGCTGTTTAAGTGCTGCTGCTGTTAGGTGCCATCTAGTCAATTCTGCTTCATAGCAACCCTGCACACAGCAGAAGGGAACACCCTAGGCCATGTACCATCCTCACAATTGTTCTTATGTTTGAATCTACTGTTAGACCACTGTGTCAGTCTATCTCTTTGAGGGTCGTCCTCTTTTTCACTGCCCCTCCATTTTACCAAGCATGATGTCCTTCTCCAGGGACCGGTCTCTCCCGACAACATGTCCAGAGTATATAAGACAGTCTTGCCATCCTTACCTCTAAGGGGCACACTGACTGTATTTCTTCCAAGGAACATCTGTTTTTCTTTTGGAAGTCAATGATACTTTCCATATTCTTCACCAACACCAGCATTCAAATGCGTTGACTCTTCAGTATTTGTTATTCAGTATGCAACTTTCACATGCATATGAGACAATTGAAAATACCATGGCTTGGGTTAGGCTTACCTTAGTCCAAAAAGTAACATCCTTGTGTTTCAACATTTTAAAGAGGTCTTGTGCAGCAAGATTTACCCAATGCAATGCAACCTTTGATGTATCGACTGCTGCTTCCATGAGCACTGATTGTGAATCCAAACAAAATTAAATCCATGCCAACTTCAATCTTTTCTCTGTTTGTCATGATATTACCTATTGGTCCAGTTGTGAAGATCCTGGTCTTCTTTATATTGAATTGTAATCCATACTGCAGACTGCAATTGTTGATCTTCATTCGCAAGTGCTTCAAGTCTTCCTTACTTTCAGTGTCATTTTCATATTTTTGATTATTAATAAGCCTTCCTCCAAGGCTAATGATGAATTCTTCTTCATATAATCCAGCTTTTCTGATTATTGGCATAGCATGCAGATTGAATAAGTGTGGTGAGAGGATACAACCACAGCAGTCTCTTGATCCATCTACAAGTTCTGCAGGAGCACAATGAAGTATGCTAGAATTCCCATTCTTCTCAAGGCTATCCATATTTTGTTATGGTTCACAAAGTTGAATGCCTTTTCATAGTAAATAAAATACATGTAAACATCTTTCTGGTATTTTCTGCTTTTAGTCAAGATCCTGCTGAATTTGACAATGATATATTCTTTGTTCCACATCCTCTTCTGACCTAACCATCTGGCAGCTCTCTGTTAATGTACTGCTGCAGCTTTGTTGGATGATCATCAGTAAAATTTGACTTGCATGTGATATCAATGATATTGTTTTATAATTTGCACATAGACCGTATTATTATCATATAGTAAGTGTATTCATACCAAAGGCACATAACAAGTAGGATCAAAGCAGAGAGGTAGTTAATTCAGCTTAGGTAGGAGGTGAAGGGGAATAATTAGGAAAGGACCTTTAAAGGAGATGATACCTAGGTTGAATTTTGAACTATCAATAAAAATTATCCAGATGAAGTAGGAAAGGGTGTCCTGACCGAATAACATGAGCAAAGATCAAAAGGTTTAAACAATACCAAATCTGAATACCTTCTTACCATTTTGAAGGTTGCAACCCTATTCCAAAGACATTCTCTGTAGCCTTGACTACCTCACTAGTCTCTTCTCTGGCTTTTTCTTACCAACTCTCCTACAATCAGCCTTCTCAGCACAGAAACTAATGATCCTTTTAATCTAGAAATCAGAGTTTGTTAGTCTTCTGGCTTAAATAGTCCAGTCTTTCCCATTACATTTAGAATAGGATTCAGACTCTTTACTGTGACCTACAAGGACTTCTCTGATTTCTTCAACTTTATTTCCCTTTATTCTTATATCCATTTGTTCATCAACCTTGATTTTCTGGTTTTAGGGTCAGACTTCTTGAGCTTGAATTGCAGCCTTGTTACTTACTAGAAAACCTGGAAAAGTAACTTAATTTCTCTGTTTTTTTTTTCCAGTTCCTTTGGTTATTATATGTATCTAACAATAGTGCCCACTTCATACTATAGATGATTAGAATTTAATTTAAAATGCTTAGAACAATGCCTGGTATATATTAAGTATTCAGTATATGCTTGCTGTCATCATCATCATCATCATCATCATCATCATCATCATCATCCTTATACCATCATTTTTTGCATAGCTACCTCTTACCATTCAACTTTCAGATCATCTGTCAAATACATAGCCAAGTCTTTCTCAACCAGTTTAACTAGAGCATTCCTGCCACACTATCTATTCCTGTTTTATGTTGCATTTCTGCCCTTGAAATTATTTTCTTTCTTTATATGACTATTTGTCAGTTGTCTGTCTCTCCTTATTCTCTGTCATATTTATAGAAATGGACTGTTGGTAATGAATTAAGAGATTATAAGAGCTATGAGGGTAAGAATCATGTTTATCTTAGATGTTCAGCACTTAGCATAAAACATGGGATACCATGTTTGTTGCTAAGTGCTGTTTAGTTAGTTCCAACTCATAGGTAATCCATGTACAACAGAATTACACGGATTCTGCACCAGTTCTGTACCGTCCTCAAGCTTGTTGTATTTGAGACCCTTGCTGCTGCTATGGTGTCAGTTCAGATTCTTGAGGATCTTCCTATTTTTCGCTGAGGCGTGCTTTATCAAGCAAGAAGTCCTTTTCCAGGGAGTGACACCTCTAACAACATGTCCAAAGTTTCTGAAAAGAAGTCTTGCTAGGCTCAGCTTCAAGGAGCATTTTTGTTGTACTTCTTCCACGACAGATTTGTTTGTTCTTCAGGGAGTCCTTGAGACTTTCAATATTCTTTACCAATATCATAACTCAGATGCATCACCTCTTCTCCAGTCTTCCTTATTCATTATCCAACTTTCACATGCATATGACGTGATTGAAAATATCTCTAAAACACTTTAAAGAGATCTTTTGCACAGCGGATTTGCAGTAAATTTATTGAATGCTGTTTCCGTGAGTGTTGATTGTGGTTCCAAGTAAAATGAAGTTCTTGTCAATGTCAGTCTTTTCTGTTTATCTTGATGTTGTTTATTGGTCCAATTGAGAGAAAACTTTAAGTTTTTGTAAGTTACAGCGAAGGCTGAAGCCTTTTTTCTATATCAGCAAGTGCCTCAAGTCCTCTTGGCATTCAGCACTTAAGGTGGTGTCATCTTGTATTGCAAGTTATTAATGAGCTTTCCTCATTACCATTTCTGAAATTATATTGTCCTTCACATAGTCCAGCTTCTGGATTTATTTGCTCAGCATACAGATTGAACCTTTATGGTGGAAGGATACAACTATGACACACACATTTCTTCATTTTATGCTATGCAATATTTCCTTGTTTTGCTTGAATGACAGCCTTTTGGTTCCACATGAGCACAAATAAACTCTCTAGAATTCCCCTTCTTTTCAATGTTATCCTTAGTTTGTTGTGATGCACACAATTGAATGCCTTTGCATAATCAATAAAACATAAGCTTTTGTTGTCGCATACCATATGGACTCTATAAATGTTTTTTGAGTATTAGAACAAATTAACATTTTTATATACACCATAACCTAGTAAACAGTCCAATGAAATGAATTCTTATAACAGATAATTTCTAATGATCATTTAGAAATTATGAAATTTTCTTTTACTTGTAACTTTTCCCTACTTGTTAAACCAAAAGTTATTTTACTAAATAGTCATTTATTTTATCAATGTATACATTTTTTCTTCTAAGACATACTATTAATACATTGATTTGATTGATGGAATGTCATGGGTTAAAATAGTATATAAGTTTTTAATTGTAATTAGCCTATGAAAAAGACATTCAGTGCAAGGAGAAACTGAATCCTTGGTATTCAAAGCTCCATTGACTGGCAACATACTTGGGAGATGGTAGAAGTGGAGATTCTCAGGTCAGATCTTAGACCTTCTGTATCAGAACCTGAATTTTAGCAAGTTCTCAGATGATCTAAAGTTTAAGCATCTTTGTATAGATTGTAGGATTATATAGTTAGAAAGTTAAAATGTAATTATTTTGGATTTCCTTTTGTGTGTTTAATGAAAATATTCTAACTTATGTTTTCAAAGGAATAATCACACTCTCTTTGGTGTTCTAAATTATACTAAGACTCCTGGAGGAAGTAGAAGACTTCGTTCTAACATATTAGAACCTCTTGTGGATATTGAAACCATTAACATGAGATTAGATTGTGTTCAAGAACTACTTCAAGATGAGGAACTCTTTTTTGGACTTCAGTCAGGTAAATTGATATTGCCTAATTTTAGAATTATAAATGACTAAGAAAAGTAAAAAAGAGACACAGGGTTAAAGGCAGGCAGTTAGAAAACTGACAGGAAGAGAGTTACATAACTGCTGTTTTTCCCTCTTCAAGAATAACCACCTGGGACCACTTGAAAAAAGTATAAATCACTCTCAAAAACTTTGAGACCACACATATATTACAATGTTGATCATGGCTATCAGTCATTAACAAGTTGTTACTTTATTATGTATAAAAATGGGTAAATGAATAAACTAAACCAAACTTGTTGCTGTTGAGCTGATTCCAACTCGTAGTGCTCCTATAGAATTAGTACATTATTATTTTTAAAATAATTCTTGTGTGATTTTGGTGAAAGTTTACACAGTAAATTTGGTTCCATTTTAAAATTTGTGCAAATGTGCAGAGCTATTGATTACATTTATCATAATATGTCAACATTTTCATTATTTCCATTCTGGCTCTTCTGATTCCATTAAATAGTTTCATTGTCACTCTCCAACATTGTAATCTTTAAAGTAACCGTTAAACATTGGTCATGCATAGATTTTTTTCTTTAGAGGAACAGAATACTCACAGGTTATATTAGTTATCTGCCATTTTGTTATGTAGTTGAAAGGTGACTTCTGGGAGTGGTTTCAGATCAAAGTAAGGAATATCTCACGGTGATATGCTCAGGGTCTTTCTTTAGTCTCAGTCAGTAGTCCAGTAAGGTCTATTCTTTCTTAGGAATTTGAGTTTTGCTCATGTTTCACCCATTTTGTCCTGGATTGTCTCTTGGGTCCTGCGATGTCACTTCAGTCAGTAGGTAGATGGGCACTATCTAGCTTTGCTCTCTGGTTTGACGAGACTGTTGTTCTTTTACTTGAGTCTTTGATTTCGTTCTCTCTCTTTTTCTACGGGCACATAGAAAATAATAGTTGTATTTTTATTTATTCATTTTAAAAAACCATTTTATTGGGGGCTATTCCAGCTCTTGTCACAATCCATACATACATACATTGTGTCAAGCACATTTGTAAATATATGGCCATCATCATTTTCAAAACATTTTCTTTCTACTTGAGCCCTTGATCTCAGCTCATTTCCCCCACCCCCCCCTTTCTCCCTCATGAACCCTTGATAATTTATAATTTTTTTCTTTCTTTCTTTTTAAAATCATTTTATTGAGGGGACATACAGCTCTTATGATCCATACATACAGTCATTGTGTCAAGCACATTTGTACATTTGTTGCCATCATCATTTTCAAAACATTGTCTTTCTACTTTAGCCCTTTTTATTTTTAGCTCCTCATTTTATTCCCCCTTCCTTCCCCACTCTCCCTCCATCACAAACCTTTGATAATTTATAAATTAGTATTATTTTTTCATGTCTTATACTGACCAATGTCTCCCTTCACCCATTTTTCTGTTGTCCGTCCCCCAGGGAGGGAGTTATATGTAGATCATTGTGATTGGTTCCCCTTCTCCCCCCACCTTCCCTTTATCCTCCTGGTATTGCTGCTCTCATTATTAGTCCTGAAGGATTTATCTCACCTGGATTCCCTGTGTTTCCAGCTCTTATCTATACCAGCGTACATGCTCTGGTCTAACTGGATTTTTAAGGTAAAATTGGGGTCATGATAGTGGAGGGGAGGAAGAATTAAAGAACTAGTGTAAAGTTGTATGTTTCATCGGTGCTATATTGCACCCTGACTGGCTCATCTCTGCCTTGTGATTCTTCTGTAAGGGGATGCCCAATTGTCTACATATGGACTTTGGTCTCCTCCCTGCATTCCTCCTCATTCATATTGATATGATTTTTTTTTGTTCTGTGTCTTTGATGCCTGATGCCTGGTCCTATTGACACCTCAGGATCACACAGGCTGGTGTGATTTTTCCATATGGATTTATTGCTTCTCAGCTAGTTGGCTACATGTTTATCTTCAAACTTTTAAGGTCCCAGGTGCTATCTCTTTTGATAACCAGATACCATCAGCTTTCTTTACCACATTTGCTTATGCACCCATTTTGTCTTCAGCGATTGTGTCTGGAAGGTGAGCATCACAGAATGCTGGGTTATTAGAACAAAGTATTCTTGCATTGAGGGAATACTTAGAGTAGAGGCTTAATGTCCGTCTGCTACCTTAATACTTACTTAACATATAAATATATGCACATAGATCTATTTCCCTATCATTATATATAAATATATTTTCATGTGTTCATGCCTGTATTTAGACCTCTATAAAAACCCTTTGCCTCCTAGTTTTTTCCTCTTATTTCCTTTTACTTTCCTCTTGTCCCACTATCTTGTTCGGCTTTCATTTGGGTTTCAGTACTTCCTCTCATCAACATTGCCCTTGATCAAACCCCACCAGGCATCCTGTGTGCCCTCCTTGCCATCGATTTTAGATCACTTATTGTTCCCTTATCCCTGAGTTTGTTGACACCTCCCTTTCTTTTCCCCTGCCTCCCCCTCTCCTGTGCCCCCCCACCCCCAGAACCATTGGTCCATTGTTTTCTCCTCTGGATTGTTTGTCCTGCCTATCTTATCTAGAAAGACATGCGGGAGACAATAATAAGCACAAAAACAAGACAGAGCAAAACAAAATAACAAAAGAAAACAAAAAACCCCCAACAAAACAATAAAAAATGAAAAAAATAAAAGTGCATAAACAGTTATAGGTCTGTTTGACTTTTAGGAGTGTTTTCTAGTTGAGTCTGATGGGGTGCCACTCCCTGGCTCCAAAATCTATTTTGGGTATTCCCTGGGAACTAATTTGCTTTGCTCCCCTTCCTGCTCTGTTGCATGCCCTTAGTGTTTCGCTCCAGTGTGTCAGTGTGGTGGGGTCAAATAGGCCACAATTCCTGCACTGTGTGCCCAGTGTTGACCCCCATAGCACAATAGGTCAATGAGGGACTTTGTGTCTTGTGGTGGGGCCTGCCCTGTGGTCCTCTCTGCATTGGTTGCTTTGAGCAAGAATATTGTCCTCGGAGCTTGGTGGGCCAGGATGTGTTCCACTGTCTCTCTTTCTCTCTTCATTTGCAATAGTTGTATTTTAGATGCTGCTTGCAGACTGTTAAGATCCCAGATGAGTCATGCATTCTTAAAAGATCTTTATGTTAAATGGTTAAAGTAAAACAACAGACAAGAACAAGAAAAACAAATGACAAAAAAAGTTTCAGGATATTTAATAGGAATTAGAATGGTCTCAAAACAAATTTATTAAAACACTTCTATCTATAAAATTAATTAAGAAGTGAAAAGTAAACTTTTGAGCCCTGGTATGTTCAAGGCACTTTACATGTACTGCATGTTCATCCACACTGTAATCCTCGGAATTAGATACTATTATTCATGTATAAGAGAGTTGAAAAACAAAGATAAGGAAAGTTAGGAAATGTTTGGGGTTTACATGGTTAGTGGATGACTTGATCTCTCGTTTGGAGATTGTGGGAGGGAAGTAAAGAGCAAAAAGATGGGATGAAATGTATAACATCCAAAAGTCACAAATGGAGTTTTCAGAAAGAAGGGGATAGTCTAAGTGTTCAATTTTGAGGAGAGTTTGTGAGTAATCAAAACCAAGAAAGGACCATTATACACCATTATTTTGTTACTGTACATATAAGAGGAAAAAGAAAAGGAAATATTAATATTTACATGCAGATTTGTATTTTTGTATGATAATATTTTACATAGTTTATATTATCAATTGTACCATAAAGTTTTAAGTTTTTATTTGTTCTTTTTTTTGTTTCAGTTATATCAAGATTTCTTGATACAGAACAACTTCTTTCTGTTTTAGTCCAAATTCCAAAGCAAGACACGGTATGGTTTATGTATACATTGTCTTAATGTGATATAATTTGTCATATGGTGATGTACAAACTGGAAAATAACAAAATGTTTTAGAAAATAATTTCATCATTAACATTTGGAGCATTTATATGCTTTTATTTTAAAGGAAATTAAGCTATTTCTCCTATATATTATCCTATATGGTGTAGTGGTTATGCTGCTAATTAAAAAGTACGTAGTTAGAAACCAGCAGCTGCTCCTCAAGAGAAAGACCAGGCTTTACTCCCATGAAGGGTTACAGTGTCAGAAACCCACAGGGATAGTTCTATCCTGTCATATAGGGTCACTGTGAATCAGACTGGACTTGATTGCAGTGGGTACCCTCTAGTAAAATAAAAACCATTACTTAGGTAGTTGAGAAATTGCTTTATCTTCATTAACTCGATGTTTACTTCATGGGTTTATATATGGTTTAAAAAACTTGAATGCAATAATAACTGATTATTAAATAACTAGTTAAAATTATATTAACGTGAAAGATTATACATTGTTTTTAAATTTTAAATCATTTTATTGGGGGCTCTTAAAATCCATAAACCAATTATATCAAACAATCATACATATGTTGCCATCGTCATTTTCAGAACATTATCTTTCTACTTGAGCCCTTTTTTCAGCTCCTCTTTCCCCACCTCCCTTCACCACTCTTCCACCTTTGTGAACCCTTGATAAATTATATATTATTATTATTTCAGATCTTGTACCGTCTGCTGTGTCCCTTCACCCATGTTTCTATCCTGGGGTGGGGAGTGAGTGTTATACATCCATCATGTGGCATCAGTCCCCCCTTTCTTCCCCTCCTCTCCCTCCCACCCCTCATGTTGGCGCTATTCCCATTACTATTTCTGAGGGGTTTGTCTGTCCTGGCTTCTGTGTGTCGAAAGTTCTTATTTGTACCAATGTAAATACTCTGATCTAGCACAATTTCTGAGGTAGAACTGGGGTCATGGTAGTGTGGGAGGAGGAAGCATCAAAGAACTAGAGGAATGTTGTGTTTCGTCAGTCCTAAACTGCACCTTGGCTGAATCATCCCTTCTGTGTGACCCTTCCGTGAGGGGATGTCCAGTTGCCTACAATAGGTTTTGGGTCTTCACTCCAACTTCTCTCCTTCGCATCATTATAATTGTTTGTTTCTGATCTCCTGATAACTGATCCTGTCGACGCCTCATGATCCCGCTGGCAGATGTGCTTCTTCCATGTGGGCTTTGTTGTTTCTCTGCTAGATAGCTGTTTATAAAACTTCAAGCCTTTAAGACCCCCAGTGCTATATTTTTAATAGCTGGGCACCATCAGCTTTCTTCACCATATTTGCTTATGCACCAAAGATTTTGCATTCTTATGAATGTGAATTTTGTTTATTCATCAAATGTACTTTAAAAAATAAAACAACTTCTTTGAATGTGTCAAATTTAAGTACTTAGTATTATATGCACATCTTATAAGAAAATAATAGTTTTAATTTTACTATTTAAGGAAACTGAACAATATTTTATTTAGTATACTTTTGCCCATATATTTAAAAAGGACTATAGACTTTCCCATCAGTTAGGCTAATCTATATGATAAGTCTTTAAGAATTGTGAAGATACACTCTTAAAATTTATTTATGAAATACAGAAGCTTTGGCTGTTGGATATGGGCATAGAGCCGATTGTTTCCTTAAATAATTGAATATACTTTATAATTCAATATATGAGGGCAAGGAAAAAAGTCTTGCTGTGAAATCATATAAACCTTTGTTAAACAAAAATATCAAAATATGAAGCTATTTTTTGATGCAACCTTTGTCTAGTCTATACACTTCTAAAGGCAGGACCTCCATCTCTCAACCCTTCCCATTAGAATTCTGTGCTCTGCAATTTATACATATCAAGATGACAGTTCTGGCATCCTTGAAGTACTAAAATCATGGTCTTTTTCAGTATTTTTGTTTGGACAGAAATAAAGTCTGAAGGGGCAAGATCAGGGCTACAGGGTAGATGAGATAAGAATTTGCCAATGAAATTCTTGTACGATAGCCTTTACTACCTTTGAAGAATAACTATATACATGGTCACCATAACCTTCCAAGCATATCTTGATTCCTTGAATTTAACTGGCCTAGCAGATCCCTGGAAGCTACTGTTTGATTGGAATCTCCTTTTTTTAAGGTACTCTGAGAGACTAGGACAAGTGTATTAATGAGAGCTCTTGTTTGTAGCCATTCCCTGGTGGTAGGGACATGTTTCAGTCTGTGGACTACATCCACACATAGAATGGAATAGAACTCAGGTAGCAGTAGGCTTTGACTTAGCCACCTATACAAATGAAAAACTTACCCAAATTAGCTGGCTTCATACAGTGAGTTTAGAAGCATTTCTCCCGCTTCAATTTTCCTGGAGAGTTTTTATAGTGTAAGCATTATTTCCTACCTAAGTTGTTGGGTACATTTATAAGTGAAGCCATCAGAGTTTTTGGTTTTCATTTAAGGAAAGTTTGAAACTCTAAATTCAGTTTCTTAAATAGGTATGAGGGTGTTGTGTAATGTTTCTTATTTTTAAAATGAATTTT